CGTAACACCATTTTGTCTTGCAAAACATAATGAAAAAATCAGGTATACCACAAGCAGTTTACTAGAAAGAATCATGTGGGATGCGATATAAAATATCTTGGCGCACCATCTTGTCTGGCTTACGCAGGAAGCTTCATCGTCTACAGTCCACCGCTCCCACTTGAACCACACTTGCGCGCCAGTTTCTCGCGGCACCGAGCGAAATTTGTTGTCACCGCGGAAATATCTATCTCCCCACCCCCTCCCTCCTACCAAAAGCCATATTTTCACTGTTCCTCCTTACTTTCCAAATTCAAACCTTCACTGCTGCTTACTAGTAGCTCAGCCTCCTCGCCGACGACCCTTCTTCTTGCAGCTCCGTCTCCTCGTCGGCTACCCTTCTTCTTGCAGCGTCGCCTCCTTGCCGGCGACCCTTCTTCTTGCAACGTCGCCTCCTCACCGGTGACCCTTCTTCTTGCTGCGTGGCCTTCTCGCCGCCGACCCTTCTTCTTGCTGCGCGGCCTCGTCGATATGGTCAGGTAATCCACACCCACCCACAGCATCCTCCTTCTTTCCTGTCCCACATGCCCCGACTGACGGAGCGACACCTTCCACTGAAATCACTGCCCCCTCCTCCAATTAAGCGCCGCCCACAACCATTTTACACGCAGTATAACATGGAGCTGAGTAGCATGCGGCTGCACGCACGAACGAGGTCGTTATGGCTGCCATGCGTGTCCACCACCAGATCTTGGAGGAGCACCTCGTCTTCGAGGTCACCGTCGACACCGCCGCGTGGTTGTCTACTTTAAAGTACAGTTCGTGGTGTTTTCTCGAGGCCACCGCCAGTGCCTTGTAGTGATTTGTCCTCTGTAATGTTAATATGCAATCTGATGTTCAGTTAACAGTTTGATCCTCTAAAATGTAATGTTCAGTTAACACTTTGGTCCAACAATTACTTCATTTCATAGTACTACTCTCAAGCATTATTTATTTTATTAACTGTCTTATCTTCTAGTACATGTTTTTATTCTGCAATGTCGTGCTCAGTTAACTATTTTGGTTCATTTGGGATGTTGTCCATTTAACTGTTTGGTTCAGTTCTGCAATTTGATTTTCATTTGTTGTGGGTACAATTTTGTATTGCTATGCATGTGACACCAATCGAATTTGGCTGTACTCAATACATATTCTACTGATAGTATGGCAACTCTCAGTTAACTTGATCAAGATCTTCCTTATGTGTGTTGCAGGGAAACAATGGGAGACACTAGGATTTACCATCGAGGTTTGTTCAAGCAGGGTCCTTTGGCTAATAGCACATTATTGTGCAGTTGCAGGAATCATTCTAATATTTATGTTTCTTACAATTTGGTCTTGCACATGTAGGTCCTGCTGTTGGAGGCTTAGACCCACTGTTCGACCCATTTTGCATATGGGGAAATGAGATGTTCATGAATATCAGTCAAGTCAAGAAACTCAGAAAGATTGTTAGGATGAAGAAACTTGCGACGAATAACAGCTAGATCTTTGTTTGCACAATGAAGAAGACATCAGTCAACTATAGGATGGTACCAACTCTTTTATCTTGTTTTTACCCCTTGCGTCATTTCAAAATTTACAACAGCGATTTATGCATAGCTTTGTTTTCAGTATTTTTCAAAGCAGTTCACCGATGATTACCTCTCAAACCACCTGCATGGTCAAGAGGCGAGGAAGGTATTCATTGAACACCCAAGATACAATATTGAAGTCTTGCTAAAGAGGGCGAAGGTTGGGCGGGAAATTATCCATAGCCACCGGCCTAAAGTTACAAGGACATTCAACATCACTGAAGGATCAATATTTGCCTTCCGCTTCTGCAGTTTCCCAGATGAGATTCATCTGTCTATTTACCGTGTATGATGCTACTTTCCGAAGGTTTTTGATGCTGCATGTGAAACTTGGTGATGTTGTGTAATGGCGTAACTGAGTGCCGAAGCTATCTGATGTAATTCGATTATGAAATCCTGGTTGCTTTTATACGGATATGAAATATCTAGCGTGTTTTATAAGAAATATCAGTTTGATTAGTACATGGATTATCAATAATAGGCTAATTACCCTGCTTATTGGGGTTTTCTATTGCAAACGGTTACTCAGAAAGCACCATGGGTGATGAACTCAAACAACCTGCACGGTTTCTAGAAAGTAGGCGTGTTCGATCAACTAACAATCCACACGGCTTCCGGCATCGAACTGTTTGCGTTAGGCCACCTTGCACAAATGTTTCCACACAAAGAACTGTGTGAGATGTACATACCTACGGAAATGATTTTTCTAGGATTCACCACGTGGGATGTACATACCTACGGAAATGATTTCTGGGATTCACCGTCTGGGATGTACATACCTACGGAAATAATTTATGGGATTCACCGTGTGGGATGTACGTACCTACGAAAATGATTTCTGGGATTCACCGTATGGGATGTACATACGTACGGAAATGATTGGGTTTCCATGCCTCGCCCGATCGCACACGGCCCCAGCCTGGGTCCCAGGAGGGCCTATCCCCGACGATTTCTGGATCGTGTGGGAAGGACCCTCCTATCGCCCACACTCACTTGACGACGGTTCCAAATGCCGTCACGGAAAGGGGTTTTAAAACGTTTGTTTAGGACGTCGCAACCAGTGTCATAACATCTAAAGTTAATGGGTTATGGTAAAAAAATCTGGTTAAGTTATGAACAGTGGCTAAGGGTAGGCATTACTTGATTATTACATCAGTCGCTACATTTGGTTAACCCAAAACAAAAAAAGGTTTGTGCATCCATCGTAAACCTGGTACATGCACGCGCACATGCGGAGACTCCCGGTCGCTTTTGTTCAACAAATAGCTATATTGAACAAGAAATGTGAAACTGTATCACCTTGCCTCACACCCTTTAAACTGCAGAAATTCCTTCCCAATGTATTGTTGATCTTAACATTCAATTTCAGGGTCCTACCCTTCACAACTGTTTAAAACCATTTCATCGTGGCTTCATTAAATTCTCTCTCCTCCAAACTATGAAAGAGGAACTGTGGGTTTACTTTGTCATATACCTTTTTAAAATCCAATTTTAATACGACCTCCCGTTGTTTCCTCCTCGTAGACTCATGCAAAAATTTATGCAAAGACATCACACCATTGATGATGTTTATCCCTTTTATGAAGGCATTTTGACAAGGAGATGTCAGCTTATTCATATAAGGAGACCCTCATAATCATAGCTTTTGGAAAGATTAAAAAGAAACAAGCAGTAGACACATGGGTCTAAATTGGTGGATAGTATCAACATCATTCCCCTAAGACATCAGTGTTATCACACCAAAAATAAATTCTACTGAAGTCCAGCTTCCCTTCGTGGAATTCAAAAAAGCAAGCCATAACATCCTTCTTGATAAAAGGCCATCATGCTCGATAGAACTATAGTAAATCCATCGAGACCAACTGCCTTTTTTCTCCATGCTATCAATGACATATTATATTTCCTCCTCCTTAAAAGGTATACAAAGGTCCCTCATATCATTCTCAGAAAGTTTTTCCATGTCACACCACACATCACTCCCGGGCTTGCATTAAAAACCTTTTGCAGGACTAAGTAGTGTTTTATAATAAGCTGTGGTGTGTTGCAATAGATTAGTAGTCCCCTAGATGACACCATCACCCTCCTTCAGAGAGAACATGTATTTTTTTCCTCTTTTTCCACATTAACAATCTAGTGAGAGTAACTATATTATTATCACCTTCCAACATCTACTTCTTACCGAATCTCTTGTGGCAATATTTGTCCTCTTCTTCTTCCAAAGCCTGGCACAAAGCACCCTGAATAAAGCTAATTCTGGCCATTGTTCATTGTTTAAAGGTTGTATCTCCTACAAAGCCTTCCTCGGTGAAGCCACCTTGTTCTTAAGACCATGTCCTCTTTAATGCCCCCCCCACCCCACCCCACCGCATCCTATGATATATCTGCTTACCTTTTTTGCTTGATCTGGACAACATCTAGGCAATCCCTAGCTTTCCCAGACCAGGCTATAAACACTTTGCCAAAGAAATCATCTCTCTTAAACCAGATGAGCTCAAATCTAAACGATCTAGGCCTTTTCTAAAATACAGTATGATCGAAGATGCTCTCATACACGCTTAGGGTTTTCTATGTTTCGTAGTATCCAGAATTAACGGGTCATGGTCAGGAATAATTCTGGTTAAGTTATGGGCAGTGGCTAAGGATAGGCATTACTTGATTATTTGATCAGTCGCTACATTTTGGCTAACCCAAAACGAATAAGATCCGTGCATCCATCGTAAACCTGGTACGCGCGCACATGCGGAAACATCCCGGTCGCTTTTGCACAGTTACTTGTACAACTTGATCCTAATTGCATGCGAGGGAGTAAACTCTTTTCCGGCCACAACTTTCCCGTGCCGTCGCTCGCGCATCAGGACAATTTCGCCTAATCCTCGTCCAAGTCGCAAAGTTAACTCGCGCACGTACGCTCAGATCCGGTGGTGCATGCAGCGAGCAGTCGCGTTACACATGCATATCGATCCACGGCGCCACCTCCAAAACCGCCGCGCCCGCCCCACGTCGTCGATCGGTTCCCTCCTCCCCCTCCCTCCCCGTCGTCGAGCGCCTCGCACCGTCTATATAAACCGCCATGCGCGCGCCCGATCGGAGCACAACTGACCCGGCGCACGTACGAGTACGAGCAGGGCAGGACACGCACCCGTCCCCTCCGCATAACCCACACTCGCTCCGCCTTCGTCTTGGCCTGCTCTGCCCCGCCGCTGGCACAACCCATAATTAGGCGAGAGAGGAGATCAGCCACACACCGAGCAGGAGCAGTTCCGACTGGACCGCGCCCACCCTCTGGTTTATCCCCCCCTCTCTCTCCCTCTCTCCACCGCCGTCCCATTGGCGACTCACTCTGCTTCGCTCCCAAGGCCGTCCGACGCGATCTGGGCCTGGGCACGTACGTAGTGACAACACGGTGACATGGGGACGGCGTCCGGCGACGACGACCGGCACGTGATGCACCATGGCGGCGGCGTGAACCTGTCGGCGCGGCGACCCTTCTCGGAGGCGCTGCGGTCGGGCCTCGCCGAGACCTTCTTCCCCGACGACCCGTTCCGCGGGTTCGGCGCGCTGCCGCCCAAGGCGCGGGCGTGGGGCGCGCTCAAGTACTTCGTGCCGGCGCTGGAGTGGGTGCCCCAGTACGGCTTCGACAAGTTCAAGTTCGACCTCCTCGCCGGCATCACCATCGCCAGCCTCGCCATCCCGCAGGGCATCAGCTACGCGCGCCTCGCCAACCTCCCGCCCATCATCGGCCTCTGTACGTTCTTCCCGGATCGCTTCGCTCGTCGCGCACGGCCGCGTATATACGGTTGAGATTTGTTGGTTGCATGCGCGCCGACTAATTCGTGCTCGATCCATCCATGGGTGTGTTTCCAGATTCGAGCTTCGTGCCGCCGCTGCTGTACGCGGTGTTCGGGAGCTCCAACAACCTGGCGGTGGGCACGGTGGCGGCGGCGTCGCTGCTGCTGGCGTCCATCATCGAGGACGAGGTGTCGCCCGAGGACGACCCGGAGCTCTACCTGCACCTCTTCTACACCGCTGCCTTCTTCACCGGCATCTTCCAGACCGCCCTAGGCGTCTTCAGGTATACACCACCGCACTTGGTTACGACCGATTTTCAATTCCCATATCATCAGTCGTTCAGTCATGACGATCGTTTTCAACTAACTGACTGTGGAGAGTTTGGGTGGTGAAGATTAGGGCTGATAGTGGATTTCCTGTCGCGGTCGACGATCACGGGGTTCATGGGCGGCACGGCCATGATCATCATAATGCAGCAGCTCAAGGGGCTTCTGGGGATGAAGCACTTCACCTCCAAGACCGACATCATCTCCGTCGTAGGCTCCATCTTCAAATACAGACACGAGGTGAGCTCACTTTCAATTCGCTCATCCCACCACTGCGCACTTCTCCCTCTGCCGCCGGCCGGACCGATTTCATTTCGAGGCTTTTTCTGGTCCGGTAGCTTCTGCTCCATTTTTAGCGCCCCCGTCTCGTGAATGTGCCAACTACCACAAGGAGCATGCAGCCGCACCCTAAGGAACTAGAAAGGCGTGACTGCGCTAGCATATCGCAAGGAAGTTGCCGCAACCGCCTCTGGAACTTCTCCGAGGAATAACCATGTATAGCAAGAAAAAAGAACTTCTTCCCATGTAAGAATAATAACCGTGAACGTATGAATTTCCTTTTTACTCCCTCTGTACCGAAATACATATTTCGGTACAGAGGGAGTAGAAAAGAAGGATCGCCGTCGGCCTCTGCATCATGATGATGCATACACCCATTTACTATAGTATTTATTTTAAGTATAAGAGAGTGTTTGTTTCCGGGGACTTATTGGTCTAGGGACTTAAATAAGTCCCTATAAGTCTCATCTAAACCAAACAGGAGGGATTTATAGGGACTTAAAATGGGCATTTGAGACTTATGAAATAAGACTCTTAAGGAGGGACTTATAGGGACTTATAGTTGTAATATGGTCTTATAGAGACTTATAAGTCCCAGGAACCAAACATGTAGAGACTTGGACTTGGGACTTATAAGTTGGGACTAAAAAAATCCTAAGACTTATGAACCAAACAAGGCCTAAGTAACCTACGAACAAACAAACAAACAAAAAAAATTAGGGAAACAAAGAAGCAATATTAGCGTGTGCCTAGGAAGCGGCGTGCTCGTTTTGGACAGACCTATGACCATGTTCTACGCCCATTTGTGCGCATGAGAGGTCGACGTGTATCAGTGCCACGTTGTTGCTTTTGAAGGAAACGATCTCTGATGGCAACTGCACCAGCCATGGGATTCTCAACTGAACCATCTGTCTCCTCTTTGTTTTTTTGCTAGTGGAGATGGCAGAGTGCAATTCTCGGCGTATGCTTCATCTTGTTCTTGTTCTCCAGTAAGCATCTGGTAAGTGGGAATTTTACTCGGACGATGCTCGAATCTATTCAAAAGCAGTATATGCTACCCTAATCCACTGCTGATTTCCTCCATTTTTTTCCTTCTGACTTGCAAAACTTCAGAAAAAGAAAATGCCACATCTATTCTGGGTGTCGGCCATTGCGCCGTTCATGGTTGTCGTCATCGGAGGCGTCTTTGATTTCCTTGTCCACGGAGATGAGCACGGCATCCCAATCGTAAGTCGTCGCCCTCCATTTACCTACTTTTACATATGCTGTCAAGACTTGAGAGCCAGGATCTATTTCAGTTTCTGCCTGTCCTAACTGCACCATGTCTTTGCTCGCTGCGTGCAACAGGTTGGTGACCTCAAGAAAGGGGTCAATCCCATCTCCATTTCGCAGTTGAGGTTCAACGGCAAGCACGTAGGGGTAGTTGTGAAAGCAGGGCTCTTGTCTGGGATCCTAGCGCTCGCGGTACGTTTAATCATCACCAATTCTCCAATCGTTTCGTCACGCCAAGCGTTTCTCGTGGACTTATATATGTATATATACGTTGATCATTTTCAGGAAGGAATAGCCGTGGGACGAAGCTTGGCCATGATCAAGAACGAGCAGATCGACGGTAACAAGGAGATGATCGCGTTCGGCATGATGAACATCGTCGGTTCTTTCACCTCCTGTTACCTCACCACAGGTACGTACTACCTAGGATTAAACCAGCCAGCCTCTGCATTGCAGATTCTCTTAAGAGACAGAGAGCGACATGTCTTGTCTGATGAATCTGTTACTGTTGGCAATGACAAGGCGGCGTTTGTTGTGCGTTGCAGGGCCCTTCTCCAAGTCGGCGGTGAACTTCGACGCCGGGTGCAAGACGCCCATGTCCAACGTGGTGATGTCGGTGTGCATATTGCTGGTGCTGCTCTTTCTGGCCCCTCTGTTCAAGTACACCCCGCTGGTGGCCCTCTCTTCCATCATCGTGGTCGCCATGATCGGGCTGATCAAGGTCAAGGAGTTCATCCGCCTCTACAGGGTCGACAAGTTCGACTTCTGCATCTGCATGGTCGCTTTCGTGGGCGTCGTCTTCTTCACCATGGTCATAGGCCTCAGCGCATCAGTAAGGATCTCATGCTGCTTTCTACCCTGATCATCATCGCCATTTTTTCCAGCTAGTGCCGTGGTGACCATGTTTCCCTGCACAACGCCGATCGATTGGTTGTGCAAACGTCGCATTTGCAGGTCGGCTTGTCTGTGCTCAGGGCACTGCTGTACGTGGCTAGGCCGGCAACCGTCAAGCTCGGAAACATCACGGGGACCGAGGTCTTCCGCGACGTAAAGCAGTACCCGCATGCCAAGAGCGTCCCCAACATTCTCGTCTTGCAGCTGGGCTCTCCCATATATTTCGTCAACGCGGGCTACTTGCGAGAGAGGTGAGCAGAGCACGACAGCGCCTTGTAGGATTGAGATGTTATAGTACTTATTACTACCACGGTGCCTTGTAGGATTTTGAGATGGGTTGAAGACGAGGAGCACATTTGCAAGGGGCACGGGCAAGACTTGCAATGCCTGGTTCTTGATCTGGGTGGTAATTAACATTTAACCCTCCCATTTCATCTATTTTCTTCGGGCGTCGATCGTTAACTTTTTGACATAACTGAACACGGCAGGCGTGACCTCAATCGACAACACGGGGATCGGGATGCTAGGAGAAGTTCACAAGGGCCTGGACCGGAAGGGGATCATGGTAACTAAACAAAAAACCCAACACTACAAGTTACTGCTAAGTACCAACTCTGAATGTTTGGTTTCAAAATTTTGCTGATGTCGTGCTCTTGGTGATCTTCAGATAGCTCTGGCGAATCCCAGGCTGCAGGTGACGGAGAAGCTGGTGGTGTCGGGGTACATCAAGGACACCATCGGGGAGGAGAGCGTGTTCCTGACCATCACGGACGCCATCGCGTCGTGCCGGTACGGGCTGCAGAGGTTCAGAGGCAAGGAGGGAGGCAGCGAAGTATAGCAGCGTTTTGAAAGTGTGAATGTAGATATTGTGGAGTGGCACAAGGCAGGACGAAGAAGAATCATAAGTAAAAGAAGGTTGAGAGCTGCGAGCAAACACGAAGGATTCGACCGCATGGATTGGGTGCCTGGATGGTCTCTTGATGTGCTCAAAACTGCATCACAAAGGGTTCGGGGTAGGCTCATGGTCCTTGTAAGGGCTTGGGCCTCGGGGGAGAAGATAGCGAGGCGGGCGAAAGAATTGCTCTCTTGTGTATAGACCAATTTAGATTTCTCGGAGGTTACCGTGAACCTCACAGATTTGCTTGTATCGGGTTTACGTTGTAGAATTCGTAAGGAAAGACTGTTCCATTGCTAGATGATGAATAAATCGTACTTCCTCTGCTACAAAGTGATGGAGGAAGTCATGCATCTAACTAGTACTCCCTCCGTAAACTAATATAAGAGCATTTAGATCACTATTTTAGTTATCTAAACGTTCTTATATTAGTTTACAGAGGGAGTATCATGGTGTCAAAAAATGTCTTATGTTTTGATACGAAGGGAGTATCATATAGTAGATGGGTTCATGTTTTACTGCAAGACCGTTGCCAACAAGAGAACTAGTGCCCAGTGCCGGCGAGCCATCGATGGTGTTATGCTGCTGCTGTTGTTATTTTCTCGTCAGCTTATTTGGATCTCCTGTGTCCAAACGTATCTCCAGCCCCCTATCGAAAAAGAAAGAAAAACGTAACTCCAGCAATCCTTAACTGACACAAGAGATAATCCTTAACTGACACAAGAGATAAACTCATGACTAAGAAGCCAAGTCTTTCTCATTGATTGATCATATCATCATCATATATAAAACGACAGGCACATGCTCAACTTCAAGTTAAGAGATGTATAACCAGGACCGCAAACGTTCTCAGTGGCAGGGCATTCAGGGCCGCAAGTTGATCAGTATGAAGGAAGGATGAAGTAGACGCGTAACTGAAGAACAGCTCAGGAACGATCAGTTTCAGATCAGTGCACATTTTAGCAGTATTCCACAGACAGACGTATCTAAGAGCAGGTTGATGGACAAAATGCCTTGGACGCATCGATGGGTACGTACGTGATAATGTTCTGCGCGTTACATGTGATTTCCGGTTTCAGGATGGCACTGAACTGGTGATCGATCACCGATGCCTTGGGTGTGGTTCATTGAAATGATCAGCTGATTCACGGCGTTGAACCCCTGCAGACAAGGTCGCCATCGGCCAATTTTGTACTACTCCAACATTACCCAAGCTGGTCTTTGCTGAGCGGCGTCTTCTTTGAAATCCGGTTGGTAAGGGCATCTCCAGCCGCGCCCCCAACAAGTCTTCCTCAGGCGATTTTGCCGCACCGGCGCCAAAAAAACGGCCCAGTCGCGCCTTAGAAGTCCGTTTTTCGCCGGCTCGGGCCAAAACTGGTGCCGGTGGACCCAGGCCGAACCCGGCGCCCTGGGGGGCGCTTGGGGAGCCGGCACAAGCGAAAAAGGCGCGTGGGCCCGCCCTGGCGGCGGCCCGAGGGACTTTTCCCGCCGCTTCTTGACGCTTTTCCCTCGCATCTCTTTCGCTCGCTCGCCTTCCTCCCGCCATTCCCTCCCTGAAAGATCGTGGATGTCGCCTAGAGGGGGGGGGGGTGAATAGGCGCTTTAAAATAATTACGGTTGAGGCTTGAACAAATGCGGAATAAACCTAGTGGTTAATTTGTCAAGCACAAAACCTACAACAACTAGGCTCACCTATGTGCACCAACAACTTATACTAAGCAAGATAAACTACTAGGTGATAGCAAGATATATGACAAGAAACAATATGGCTATCACAAAGTAAAGTGCATAAGTAAAGAGCTCGGGTAAGAGATAACTGAGGCACGCGGAGACGATGATGTATCCCGAAGTTCACACCCTTGCGGATGCTAATCTCCGTTTGGAGCGGTGTGAAGGCACAATGCTCCTCAAGAAGCCACTAGGGCCACCGTAATCTCCTCACACCTTCGCACAATGCAAGATGCCGTGATTCCACTAAGGGACCCTTGAGGGCGGTCACCGAACCCGTACAAATGACAACCCTTGGGGGCGGTCACCGAACCCGTACACTTTGGCAACCCTTGGGGGCGGTCACCGGAACCCGTCAAATTGCTCGGGGCGATCTCCACAACCTAATTGAAGACCCCGACGCTTGCCCGGAGCTTTATACCATAATGATTGAGCTCCGAACACCACAAAGGTTGGGGTTAACTCCCCAACGACACCATGAAGCTTCACCACAATGAAATATGGCTCCGAGCTGACCTCAACCGTCTAGGGCGCCCAAGCACCCAAGAGGAACAAGCTCAAGGGTACCAAGCACCCAAGAGTAATAAGCTTCTCAACTTGTAACTTCCACGTATCACCGTGGAGAACTCAAACCGATGCACCAAATGCAATGGCAAGGGCACACAGAGTGCCCAAGTCCTTCTCTCTCAAATCCCACCGAAGCAACTAATGCTAGGGAGGAAAATGAGAGGAAGAAAAAGAAGGAGAACACCAAGAACTCCAAGATCTAGATCCAAGGGGTTCCCCTCACTTAGAGGAGAAAGTGATTGGTGGAAACATGGATCTAGATCTCCTCTCTCTTTTCCCTCAAGAACTAGCAAGAATCATTAGAGGGATTGAGAGTTAGCAAGCTCGAAGAAGGTCAACAATGGGGGAAGAACACGAGCTCAAAGGATAAGGTTCATTGGGGAAGAAGACCCCCTTTTATAGGTGGGGAAAAATCCAACCGTTATGCTCACAGCCCGCACAGAGCGGTACTACCGCTCCAAGGAGCGGTACTACCGCTAGGAAGGAAGTACCCCTTTAAAAAACAACAGTGAGGAGGAAAAATGCAAGAAAAACCGCCGGAGCGGTACTACCGCTCGTCCTCACGGTACTACCGCTCGACCTCACGGTACTACCGCAAATGGTAGCGGTACTACTGCTTGCGAGCGGTACTAAAAAAAACATCCGGGCCTACCACCGCAAGACTTGGGACGAGTTTTTTGTCTGGAGCGGTACTACCGCTATAGGAGCCGCGGTAGTACTACTCTTGAGCGGTAGTAAAAAATTACATCCGCTCCAATTCGCGGTAGTACCGCCGCAGCCTTTTCAGAACACCAAAACTGCCACAACTTTTGCAAACGGACTCCAAATTCGATGAGACCAAGTTTGTTGGAAAGTTAGCGACAAGGGCTAACACAATCTTCAAAGAAATATCAATAATAGGCAAATGAGAAAAGGCCCATAAGAAAATGATGAGAACCCTTCCTCGGAAAAGACCGGTAAAACCTCCAACACCGAAAACATCATAGAAGACACATGCGAACTCCGTTTTCGATGAAACCAAGTTTGTCATCAAGATGACCATAAGCTCTAAGAATCACAAAGAGAACCAAACAAGAGCCAAGAAAGATGATGCAAGGATGCAATGGTTTGAGCTCTCTACTAACGATACGATCAAGCTACCAACTTGAGAGCCCCCCTTGATAGTATGGCAAACGATCCTATAACCCGGTCTCCAAACTACCACCATGAGACCGGTAAAATAGAAAACCTATCAAGGGCAAACATTTGCCTTGCACATGGTCCACTTGAGCTAGATGATGACGATTTGACTCCCTCAAGTTGGACCACCTTTCTTGATTGCGTTGGCTCGATGAAGACTAGATGATTGCTCCCCCATAGTCCACTATGGGTGAGCCACTCTTCGGCACATCTTCACAAGTCCATTGTCACCACAATGGACGGCAAGCTTCAAGCACTTGATCTCTTTGCGATGATCCACTTGAACTTGCACACGGCAATCTTGATGACGATCACCACTTGATGTCATCCTCTCCATGGGTTGAGTGATATCTTCCCCTTGACACAAGCCCATGAACACGTACCTAACCCCACGTAGAACTCTCACATAGACCATGGGTTAGTATACAAAGCACAATGGACAATGCTTACCAAACCATGGGATCACTTGATCCCTCTCGGTACATCTTCTACGCTTTGTGAGTTGATCAACTTGATTCATTCTTGACTTAGTCTTGATCAACCTTGAATCTTTCCAACTCTCTTCATTTGGATGATGTCTTGAAGGTAAACATGAATGATCACACAATCTTCTTCTTCAAGACATGCTTGCAATAAGCTCAACTCTCACATGACCAAGCTTTGGATAATTCCTTAATAGCACCTTGGTCAACCCATAAACTCCTTGAAACCAACACATGGACTCCAAGAAAAGTCTATGGACAAAACCTTCAAATATAACTCAAGGCAATCATTAGTCCATAGAGATTATCATCAATTACCAAAACCAAACATGGGGGCACCGCATGTTCTTTCAATCTCTCCCATTTTGGTAATTGATGACAATCACTTTCAAGAGAGTTTATACAAGGAATTATGCATCACCATGCAATGCAACAACCAATGATGCATGAGTATGATATGCAAATGCTTAGGAACAAAACCAAAGCAAGAAGAAAACTCTGAAGACTTCTCCACGAAACTCTCTAAAACTTCTCCCCCATTGGCATCGATTGCCAAAATGGGCAAAAAGCTTAGAAGACCAATATAAAAGGTGTTCCTCCAAAAAATTGTGTATTTCTCAACAATAGAGTGGAATGCCATACACATATCCAAAGGTAATACTGGGAGGAAGACCAACTATATTGAGTCACAAAGATTGCTAAAGGAAGATATGCCACAAAGACATAACAGAGAGAAACACAAGCAATCAAGCAATCAAAAGATACCAATTGAAGCAAGCAATCAATGGATATCAATTGAACCAACTAGACCAAAGATCCTATGATCCACAAGAAAAAAAGATATTATGATATGAGCATAGGAGTGTTCTAAAGAAACTAGAGAGGCTCCCCATGATTTGTGGACACATAAGAATATTTGTATTTGGATAAAAAGTGCACAAAATAGGATCATAGCTCCCCCAAAATCAATAGAAACTTACAACAAGTGCAAGTGAGCATATAGGAAACTAAGCCTAGTACTTGCAACAAACACATGGTTGAGCAACAAGTAAAAGAGGCAACTTAAGAATGGGCTCAACCAAAATTATGTGTGTGAGTCAAGGCAATGCACTTGAGAAGACTAATGTACGGATGAGCATCAAGCATCAATAAAGTCTTGAAGGAATGAGGCAACACGGTGCAAGGCCTATCATTCCCACACACAACAAGCAAATGGGCTCACAAGCTTACTAATAAGCATAAAAAGAACCTATGCTTGTGACAACCCGTGGTGAAGATAGAAGATGAAAGCCTCATCAAGACGAGGGATACCAATTAAGATGGCAAAAGCCTCGTAAAGATAAGCATGAGGAAAGTAATCTTCACCACACAAGAGTGCATCAAGATGCAACGAGATAAGACATGCACTCAAGGCAAAAGCTTTCACGGAGCCACCAAAGAAATAACAAAAGAAAGACAAGGTGGACGTGAAAGAAAGGATATCATGTAGAGATGTAATTTCTCTCAAGTGTATAAGGTTCTAGGTAGACGAAATCATGATGATATATATCTACAAAGAAGGATGTACACCCGAAATAGTTACAACATGAAGGAACAAGATATCCAAAAGGAAGTCATACATATACCAATAAGATATTTGCTTGAGAGCATAGCACAAGGCTAGATATGGTCTTATTGCATATAAATGAATTCCAACCACACGAACATCAAAGACATCACAACTAGCAACAAGACATCATTGTTGGGATGCTTTGAGAAAGGAAACAAGTATCACAAGAGAGAATGGATAACATGCCATGATACAACCTACGAAAGGTTGATGCAAGAAATGTGTGCATGAAGTAGATGATGATACTTGTTACCGAGATACCATTGGATGGAAGTAGTAGATGCCAATCAAAGGTAGATAGTAGTTCATTAATCATCCTAGCTTGACTCCAATAAGCACATGGTGACACCACCTTCCTTGTGAGTGAGCCGAGCATTCAATGCATCTTCACTTGTTCCTAGAACAACAACACAAACAAAATGGTACCCAAACTCATTGGGACCAAAGAGTTAGAGAACCAACGACACATAGGACAAACTCCACACAAACATGTGCATATGGATATGAAAATGAATTACATGCACATCTCATCCAATTTGAGACATGGAGGAGTTTCCCCTATATATTGGGTCAAAGAAAGAAAGCATGCCAAAGATACTACATGAAGTTAATATGCATGCTCAAGACTTTCAAGAACCGATACCAAAAGACAAAGAAATACCAAGGAAAGAAAAGATACCAAATGAATAAATCATCACTTGGAGGGTATCCATAATGGATACAACAAGGAATGAGATATCCATTGATATACACAAAGAAGAGACATCAAACTCCCAAAAGAGAGGATGGTCCCAAACAAACCAAGCTCTCTACAAAGTTTCATGATGGCACAAAGTACCAAAACGAAAACGGCTTGCCTTCCACCAACACACACTTGACAAGGATCGCAAGATGAGTGTTTTATAGAAAATAGGATAGCTCCCCCAAGACTAGTGCATTATAGAGAATTTGCATTTGAATACAAAATGCACAAGGTGGGATCACCACTTTCATTATATCTAGAAAACACTAGACTAGATCAAGAAACAAGATCCACAAGTGGTATGGAAGACAAAGGGACTTGATACAAACCTTGGCAAGAGAAAGGGAAAATAAAAAGCAAAGGCCAATGTAAAGATGATCAATAGATTCTACCACAAAAGTTATATTGCCTTGTGACATTCAAATACAATTATTTATTGCTGAAACAATAAAACATAAAAATCGTAATGTAGATGACTTGCATGTAGTGGAAAGTGGAACGTGAAATGGTTGCATGCTCGCTTGGTGATGTGGAGGGTTTGCATGTGGTGAAAAATGAAACGTAGATTTGTTGCATGTGCATTTAAATGAGATCACTTACTTAGATATATACGTGGTCTTGGTGATATTGAGATAGCTCTGGCGAACCCCAGGCTGCAGGTGACGGAGAAGCTGGTGGTGTCGGGGTACATCAAGGACACCATCGGGGAGGAGAGCGTGTTCCTGACCATCACGGACGCCATCGCGTCGTGCCGGTACGGGCTGCGGAGGTTCAGAGGCAAGGGGGGATGCAGCGAGGTATAGCAGCGTTTAGAAAGTGTGGATGTAGATATTGTGGTGTGGCACAAGGCAGGAAGAAGAAGAAGAAGATGCATAAGTAGAAGAGAAGATTCAGAGCTGCGATGAAAGAGGAACTATTCCGTTGGGAGAGGATTTTCTATCATGCCACCGCATTATTTATTACTATGTGGGACCATTGATATTATCTATAATGTTTTCTCTCTCATCTAGCATACATTCACATGTTATTCTACTCATCAAGTTTCATCCAAATAAATAGATGCATATTGTATGTTGAAATAAAAGTTTGATTTACATTCTATTTGCATAATTGTGTTTTTTCTAACAAGATCTTTCAAACAAGACCAATATTGAATATATTTTTAGGAAATATTTTCAACAAGTAAACTACCATGCTTCAAACTTGTTTCATACAAATTTATTAGTTCGATGCAAAAATTCAACAGTGAGTTATTCAAACAAAACTTTGAACTTTAATTGTGTTTGACAAAGTATCTCATAGTTGTGTGTACTTTAAATAGTGTTTTAGTGTGTTCTAAAATTTGATTATTTTTAGAACATGCTGAAACACGTTCAAAAGTGGTATAGTTTTAAAGTTCTTCTCGTCATAAACACAAATATGCAAACAGATCATAAATTATACATTTGGTTTAGAAGATAAAATAGTTTTAACCTTGGAAATAATATAACAAAGCATGGGATGGTGAAGCATATGCTTGCATGTGGTCAGAGGAAGATCTGACAAACTACAAAGAGCATTAACGCACAACATCAAATCTCCAAGAAAAATGAACGACCCTCCCATGCACAGGACCTCCGTGCACGTGCACGGGAGAAATGCTTTTCTCCTATTCCGTTGCATGATGGATTGGGCCTTGGTGGAGATTGTGCCTGGATGGTCTCTGCATGTGCTGAAAACTGTAGCAGGGAAGGATTCGGGGTAGGTTCACGGTCCTGGTAAGGGCTTGGGCCTTGGGGGAGAAAATAGTGCTCTCTTGTGTATAGACCAATTTAGATTTCTCAGAGGTTACAGCGAACCTCACGGATTTGCTTGTATTTTTTTTTTAAGAAATGGAGGACGGATTTGCTTGTATGGGTTTACGTTGTAGAATTCGTAAGAAAAGACTTCCATTGCTACATGAATAAATCATGCTCCCTCTGCTACAAAGTGATGGAGGAAGCCATACGTAGTACTCCCTCAGTCCCTAAATATACTCCCTCCGTTCCAGAATAGATGACTCAACTTTGTACTAATTACAAAGTTGAGTCATCTATTTTGGAACGGAGAGACAAAGCTGAGTCATCTATTTTGGAACGGAGAGAGTAATGGTGTAAAAAATGATCCTATGTTTTGGGACGAACAGGAGTATAAAGACGTTCTAGATCACTATTGTTTACGGAGGTAGTTCCATATAGTAGATGGGTTCATATTTTACTGCAAGACCGTAACAACATTAACAAGACAACTCGTACAAAAGAAAGAAAGAAGATAACACGTCAGAGGAAGACTGACAGTGTCACGGAATTATCGTGATTCATTGTGTGTGTGTGTGTGTGTGTGTGTGTGTGTGTGTTATGTTGCTTTTTTTTCTCTCGTTAGCTTATTTGAATCTCTTCTTTGTTCAGACGTATTTACAGCCCCTTCTCGAGAAAGAAAGAAAAAACGTATCTCCAGCAATCCTCTGGACGTGCGGGATAAATACAGACATGCAGACGTGCAAACTCTTTATCATTGATTGATCATATATAAGACGGCAAGCACATACTCAAGTTCATATATAACCAGGACAGCAAAGGTTCTCAGTGGCAGGACATTCAGTCATAACAAGCTACTAGTATGAAGGAAGGATGGTATGGCATTATTTATTCTACGTAGTTATGATCATATATTCTCAGCCTGGGCTGCGGCCGAATATTTCTTGTCCTCCAATCCAACATACCACCCTGATCCTCCAGCAGTCGAGCTCTCATGGAGCTGTTTTCTCTCGCTGTGGTTGCGACCACCGGCTGCAGCTGCAAAGGCCGCACCCATGTCTGCCAAGATTCAGCAGCAAGATGGTCAGTCAAAGAAACAGTTACTCTGAATTAATTTGCAGAGAGCAGATGGCCTGGCTAAGCTCACGAGTCAGGCAGGCATAATCTCGAAGACGGGGAGGAAGGAGAACTCACCGGGGTCAGCACGCTGCTTGCAGCCCGACTTGGGGCAGCCATGCTTGAAGGCAGCCCTGCAGTCCTTGAAGGATTTCAGGATGCAGTAGTTGTAGCCTTCTTCAGTGGGCTTGCGGCGAGGGTTGTTCATGCACTTGCGGTACACACGGCAGTGGCAGCATCGGAATTCCCCGAGGCCCCCCTGGACCAGGAGCAAGGAGATGAGCATGGCTACGACCAGGGCCTTCCCGCCGCGAACCGCCATTGCGCGATCAGTCCATGGTTACTAGCTTTGGCACCACCAGACAGGCATGCAACCTCTGAATGTCCATGAAGTGGACGCGTAACTGAAGAACGGCTCAGGAACGGCCACTTTCAGATCAGTGCACATTTCAGCAGCGTCCCACGGACAGACGTATCATAAGAGCAGAGGTGGACGGCGACAAAATGTCTTGGACGCATCGATGGGTACGTACGTGATAATGTTCTGCCTAATCTATTCTAATTCTAATCTGATCGAGCCTGCGCGTTAGTACAAGAGATTTCCGGTTTCAGTATGGCAGTGAGCTGGTGATCACTGATGCCTTGCGTGTGGTTCATTGAAACGCCTGCAGACAAGGTCGTGGTCGGACAATTTTCTACTAGTAGGTGCAAGTTTTCCGAGGAAACACTGGTTCTCTTGTCTTGGCCGAGTGGTGTCTTCTTTCAAATCCAGTTGGTAACTGAGACCATCTCTTATGCAAGGTCTTCTCGTTTTTTCTTACTACCTCCGTCTAAGTGAATAAGTCATTCGCGTAGTTCTAGGTCATCGATTTAAGGAATTAAATATGTGTTATTTGTCATGAAAAGTATATCACTAGATTTCTACACGAATATAGTTTTTAAATATATATTTTTTGTCACGTATAATACATATTTAGATAGTTAAATCGTCGACCTAGAACTACGCGAATGACTTATTCACCGAGACGGAGGTAGTACTGGAAAAGGAGAGTGCGCCAAGTTATTGCAGACGGAATTGATTATATCATCTTCTTTTTGGCGGGAGGAATCGATTCTGATTTACGTTTGGTGTTTCCTGAATTTGTTCAACCAAAAAATTTCATGACCAAGCCTCAACCATGAGTAAAGCATCAGCAACATCAAAATACCATAGGTGTAAAGGACTTATGTAATATCTAGATTATTGACTGGTGTAAGTGAAGACAGTCAGAAATATACTCTAGAGGAAATAACACAATTATTGTTTGTAGATATATTGCCTTGTGACATTCAAATACAATAAAACATAAAAATCGTAATCTAGATGACTTGCATGTAGTGTAAAGTGGAATGTGAAATGGTTGTATGTTCGCTTGGTGATGTGGAGGGCTTGCATGTGGTGAAAAATGAAAAATAGATTTGTTGCATGTGCATTTAAATGAGATTTGTGTAGTAAAACGTTCATCCTGTATGTTAAATTCTAAATCGTGCTTTTCAAAATGTCATCGTGTATTTTAAGTGTTCATACTGTTTGAACAAATGTTCGTCTATTTTTACTACACAAAATGGTCATAGTGTGTTTTAAAAATGATGTTCGTCTATTTTTAGTTTTTTACAAGGTTTACCATGTACCAAGTACTCCCTCGTAGTGTGTCATAGTTGAGTCACTTATTTTGGGACCGAGGGAGTAGTTAACAAATAACAATGTGTATTTCAAAATTTTCATCGTATATTAAAAAAATATTCAACATGCATTTCAAGTGTTCAAAAGATGCTCACATGTATCTAAAAAAAGTTCAATAAGTATTTTTTTATTTACTTTCTAATGTAAACTTAAAAATATTCAATAAGCACTTGATAAAATCAACCAAAAACAAGAAAAATGTGAAATAAAGCATAAAAGAATGGAAGGAAAATAAATAAATATATATTATGTGTTAAAAATGTCCACCATGTGTTTTTTTAGAAATCAAGTACTTAAAAGATGTTCATATAAAAACAATTAAAAATAGTAAGAGAAATAGAAAGCACAAAAAATAAATAGAAAAAATGTAAAGAGAAACCAAAAGGGAAATTGATGAAAAGAGAAAAGAATCAGTCAGTCAACAGAAAAGAAAACATGTTAAACATTCTTTAAACAAGGCAAACATTTTTGCAAACACTATGAAGAAAAAAGAACCAGAAGATTGTAAAAAAAACAAGAAACAAAAGGCGGGAAAGGGGACTGGAAACAAAATAAGAAAACGAAAACAAAGAGGGATTGCATATTTAAAAGAGAATTGCTTGTATCAGGTTGACGTTGTAGAATTCGTAAGAGAGGAGAGGATTCGATTGCTAGATGAATAATTTGTACTTCCTCTGCAAGTGATGGAAGACGCCATATAGATGGGTTTGTCATTTACTGCATCAACGTTCTTCGAAATATCTTTTAAACTTTGAAATAGTAGTTAGAGAACTAATCCAATAGATTGTCTCGAAAAAGAAAAAGAAAAAGAAAAAGAACAATCTAAAAGCAAAGACCATAACTCATCGTAGAAACAAACGTATCCCCGTGTGATCTTCCACCAACAATTTCTTTTGGACGAGACTGCAAACGAAGCTGTAGTATTAACGGAACTAGTGCGCGTTGATAATTTGCTGGTTTTGTTTATACCTTACCCAACATCCCTACCGAAATATGGGAACGAACGACGTGCAGCTTGACCAGATATCAGCACATATATACAAGGAAAACACGAGCAAACAAATTCAGACTAGTATAAAACCTCTTGCGTTTTGTCCAAGCAGCATATGCAACATCAGTTCATCATGTTTTGAACATCCGGGGCGTACAACAAGATGACAAGCATATACTAGTACGTAATTATGTTTGTTATGTTTATTTATTGCCAGAGCCAGAGATCTTGTACAGTGCATGACAGACAGACTTTCACTACGAGAAGGCTTTTATTCTGAAGAGTTTCTCGGCCTATACCGCGGCCAAACTGTGTCTGTCCTCCAAGTCTCCAGCCAGCCTCTCGCAGCCCTCATGGAGCTGCATCCTCTTCAGCGGCGTTGAACTCGCCGTGATCGGCACCCCCGCAGGAGCCTCCACGCTGCCCTCAGTGATGTGGAACTCGCCGTGATCGGCACCCCCGGCAGGAACGGCCATGCTGCGCTCGTCTGTAACTGTAAGCATTCAGCAGCAAACCACGGGAAACGCGACAAGTCAGACAAACAAATTTGCAGAAAACACACGAACCATATGTACATGCTCAGACACCTGACATTGCGGGAAAAGATAACTCACCGGGGTTGACAAGATCGGCCAGTGGCGTCACGTAAGGAGTAGTAGCAGTACGCGGGCATCCCTTGAAACAATGCTTGAGGCTTTTCTCCATGCAGATGAGGTGGTCGCGTGGCTTAGGGCCAATGTTAAAGCACCAATTGTAGAACACGCAGTAGCAGTTTGCCGTCAGTTTCCCCGTTGTCCCCTGGACCACAAGGAAGGAGATCAGCATGGCCAAGGCGAGGGCCTTCCCAGTGCGAGCCGCCATTGCGCGATCGAGCTCGCAAGTCACACCGGGAGAGCACTACTGGTAGGGGGTGGGGATCTGGATGATGTGTAGGGGTGTGCAGCGGGGGGCCTGAATTTATAGCCCAGCGAGGCCGCACTGTTCATCCACTCAGTTTCGCGGACTGATCGATCAGTGCGCATCGGATCCTCGATCAATGGCAGATGGCAGCGATGCACCGCACTAGCTTTGTTACTGCTTGCTATTTTACAGGGTTATAAGCCACCCCGAGTGTTCAAGTTGGATGAACCTTTTACTTGTTATAAGTGGGACCGGGTGGGCGAGACGTCCATTCATCCTGCTCTTCTTGGCAAGGGCAGGGCGTCCCGGGTTACCACCTTTGGCACCACCGCACAGGCATGCAACCTCTGCATGTCACAAGCGAACGCATGAAGTAGACGCGTAACTGAAGAACAGCTCAGGAACGGCCACTTTCAGATCACTGCACATTACAGCAGTCTCCCACGGACAGACGTATCCTAGAAGCAGGTGGACGGCGACAAAATGTCTTGGAGCATCGATGGGTACGTACGTGATAATGTTCTGCCTAATCTAATCTAATCTGATCGAACTTGCGCGTTAGTACTACAAGAGATTTCCGGTTTCAGTATGGCAGTGAGCTGGTGATCAGTGACGCCTTGCGTGTGGCTCATTGAAACGCCTGCAGACAAGGTCGCGGTCGGACGATTTTGTACTACTCCAACATTACACCGTACTGGTAGATGCAAGGCTTTTGATGAAACACTGGTTCTCTTGTCTTGGCCGAGTGGTGTCTTCTTTGAAATCCAGTTGGTAACTGAGACCATCTCTTGTGCAAGGTCTTTTTTTTTTGTTTATGACAGGGAGAATGCGCCAAGTTACTGCAGCCGGAACCGATTTGATCTTCTTCTCTTTCGCGCGAGGAATCGGTTTTGATTGGCATTTGGTGTTTTCTCAATTTCTTCAACCAGAAAATCGCATGGCGAAATACTTATCATCCAAGTGTGTGGTCGCTGTTGTACTAAAGTAAGAGACACTTAATATGGAACCGGGGGGGATGCATACGCATCTACACAATCCTTGTATAAATTTCTAGTGTTTTCCGATTAAAAGAACTTGTATAGGATTTTGAACAGTTTTATAGGTCATTTCATCAGCAGGAAATTTATTTGGATAGGTAAAAAAATGGCAATCTCGATTCCCTGACTATCTTTTTTTAGAGAAAAGGCATAGCGTCTGACTTTATAAATAAAGTCAAACGAATGAATCATCCAACAAACGACACAAAGTATCAGTTAAGTCATCAGCATACAAGCCAAGAATAAACCGCAAGGGTCGGGTAAACAGGCACATAGGCCACGCAAAGTCTCAGCAAAAAAAGGAAAGTTACATCTGGGAGGAGCAGACGAAGCAGGTGCTAGACGAACAACACTACACCTGCGTAAAATATTTCCTTACGAAGGATCTTAGCTGGAAAGATTTTATTGGTTAAGAAAAGTGAGGCAGGCCCACCCCCCGAAAATGGAGGGAGTATATTAGTTAGGGATGGAAGGTTTAGTAGCTTTTAGTAAAAATTACGTGGGTATAGCATTTTTGGGTGCTAGACATAGGTCAACAGCAAAGTCACGGGACTTGGAGATAATCATAGAGATGACATCATGATGTATGCCGGTAACAGATGCCATGGCTATCTTGTTGAAAAAGAAAGCTCCGCCGAAAAAATGCTCCTCTCCCGCGTCGTTCCCCATGGGCGACATGGGCGATGACCTAAACCTACCTTCACTGCCAACTCTCCCTCCTCCTCACATCTTGTCGTCGCCAAAGAGGGCCTTTTCGGCATCTTACTGAAAGAACCAAATCAAAGGAGGTTTTACTAAGAGATCTACGCAGACTTTAAAGATGGTAATGCAAGAAGCAAGCGAGAAAGCACAAAATGAATGAGAGAATTCTAGATTTGATTAATATGCCTTTTGATTCTGAGAATGTCCGCTTGTTTTTTTTCTCGAGAATTTCTGTTTGTTGCCTTACTTTCAATCATACTTGTGTTGTGTGCACGTTTTAAATTTCTTTAAATGCACTCCATTTGTAAGTAGTACTCCAAAATTTCTTTCTATAATTTATTCATTTTCAACATTGTATCAACACTCTTGCCCCCTATAGATCTCTAAATTAATACAGTATGATTCAAGAACATACTAAAAAACATAAGATCTTCCTCATGTCGTTTTTGCTTTTTCTATGTCAAGAATGGGGCAATTTAACACACACAGGGAGGAGTACTCACTTGGAAAACACTCATTCTCATCCGGATGCACGTAGCTGTCCAAGCAACCATCTTGCATGCCGTCGGATCGCGGCGCATCGTACAGTCTAGATGCTTTCTGACCAGGGGTGTGGACGCGCGTGCCCTAGGTATTTTTTTGCTCCCACCCCCGTGAGCTCGGTCGTCCCATCTGCTTTCATCCCCATCCCTCTCTAGCTTTGGCAACAACGCAGGCGACTACGAGATCCAGAATCATGACGGGGGTGGGGGAGCTGGATGCTGCCGGGACGACAAGGGAACCAGAGGTTCAGGCGGCAGCGAGCACCGTCGGCCACGTCGCCGAGCTACATGACCCCCCTATAGTTGCAGCGGCAGACGAGAGGTATGGTGCCCTGCAGGTCGCATCATTTTTCTCCCCCGCCTGCATGATTTCCTTTTAGTGGTTCATTTCACAGTTAATCCCAGCAGTTCCCAGCGTTGGATGAGTACATCTGGGTCGAATGCATAGTATAGATGTGTTGTCTATTCAGGGGTTTCATTTGAGCCGCTACTCCCTTCCTGCCGCCAAATTCATCCCCCATTTCACCTAGGGTTTGTTGTGTAGATCGGATTAATTTGGTTCCATGTTGTAGCTAGGTTTTATAGTTGAGATTTTTATAGGTAGGGGATGAGATTTCAGAGTTGGAGGACTAGATTCCCAGTGATCTTTTTTGTGATGCTACTATTTGGTTCGTCAAGTTATGGGTTTCTTGATGTATTTGTTGTTTAGATTAGGTTTTTTAGATGAAAGTCAGTTCAGAGCCTTATTGTTTGTTTTATTTCTATACTCAGACAAGATTTTTCCATCTTATAGCGTTTTGCTGCATGTAATTGCTTTAGACTTTTTTCTTTGAGCTGATTGTGTCGGGCGGCTAATTGTTTAGTTTTTCTAGATTTACCCACTCTTAAGTAATTGCAAGAAAGGAATGCTCATTTTTTTGCTTCATTGTTATGCTTGGTAGATGTTGAGTATGCTGGAATCCGAATGCCCATCGCTTTCTGTAGTAATTGTATAGTGGTGTTTGTACCCAATACATTTTTTATTCATTTTGATTTTTGCAGCTACATGTCAGACGAAGAAGTAATGGAGTCTGATATTGCATTCAACCAACGTTTCGCAGCAAAACACTTGCGCGAAGTTGCAAAGACAAAACTTAATCCTAGCAAGAGGCGCTACATAAATGAAACTGGCTTCGGTGATCTCACGAGCATCTCACCTTTCGCAGCGCCACATGATCTGATGGAATGGTTAACAATGAACATTGACACTGACAGTTGTGAGCTCAGGTATTGCACCCACCTCCTTTCTTATTCCTTTTTTCTCATGCATCATGTCTGCAACATATACTTTCTTTCTTTTTAGGTCATGTTGATAGCAACCAATGAATACATTTTTTGGGGTTTCAGGCTGAGTCAGAATAAGGTCATTGTGTTTACTCGAGACATGGTGAAGAAGGTTTTCAATATCCCATCAGGCAACAGACCAGTTGAGCTTTTCAAGAGACATGAGCATTGTGAGCTCCACAACATTTATCACAAGAATGGTAGGGCTCCAATTACGCATACAGTGGATGTGCTTCATCGAGCTAGGAATGATGATGGTGATACTACAAAGATGTCATGGGTGCTCTTAGCGCTTGCAACAGTTTTAACTCCAAGCACTGGCAACATGGTGCCGCTAGAGTACTTGAAAAGCCTTGAAGAAATGGACAAGGTTACTGAATTCGCTTGGGATGAACACGTTTTAAGTGTTGCAATGAGAGAGGTCAAGAAGTGCCAGGACAAGATAAAATCACAGGCTACTTCTTCATTCTGGGTTGGGGGCTGCTTCTCTATGCTCGCGGTATACTTCTTTCTTTTTGGAATTTTTCTATCTATCGCAACATGTTTTTGTTTTCTGTAAGCACATTTTTTCTTATTGTGTCTGATATATTATTTTTTGTCTTCTTATTCAGGTTATTTACATGGACCATTTGATATTTCCTCAAGCTGCCATCAACAAGCACCAATTGAATTATTCTCTTCCAAGGGCTTGCTTCGTGCATCAGATTGAATTTGATCTTGTGTTGGACTTTGACAAGAATAAGCTTTCTTTGGGCAAAGCCTCATTCGGGGAGTGTCGTGTAAGTTTTTGTGTGGTTTACTTCCCTCATCCATTGCAACATTGTTTCTCCCAATTTTTACCTTCTTATTTTTGCTTGTGTACTCATGGTTTTAATTCTTGTTTCTTTTTGTTTTGTGTCCTATAGTTTCGCTCTCTGTTAGAGACACCATACGCAGCATTGCCTGCCCAAGGCCCGGTAGGCAACAACAGTGAAGTTGCTCAAGATCAGCAGGTTTCAGACAGCCCGGATTGTGATGATACTCAAGATTGTGGAGCTGGAAATATCAACATTAATGATAACCAAGATGATGTGGCTGTGAAAGAGAACCCTACGAAAGGTAGCAACCCAACGGATAATGGCAAAAGCACCGACGAAGATGTGTGTGGTTCGCTGGATGATTGCCTTCAAAACCCGGCACCATTTGGGGCAGAGCTTGAGGTGAGATTTTTTGTTGTTTAATTTTGTCAAATACCTTTCTACCTTTTCTATTTTTTAGTTCCATCATATGGTAAGTTGCATCCCTATTGACGACTGTCACTTTATTTTTCCATACATTTTTTCAGCTCCCATCACATATGGCTGCAATCTACGACAAGCACACAAAACTATATAACGCAAAGTTAAAAGGGTCTCCAAGTTCTTACGGGCAAATGTTGCAAGCAATACATTGCAAGCGAATGGAGCAGCTTCTCAAAGATGTTCATGTTGCTTCGTCAAGTTCTCAGGAAGCAGCGGATGTTACCTTTGATGTGTCGCCTCCTCACAGCAATGTTGTAGGCAAGTCAGATGGTCATGGTTGTAGAAAGGAAAGTTCTAGGGAGAAGGTCGTAGATGAGCCAACAACTGACAAGGTGTTTGAGCCAGCTGAAGGAGCTCGAAGCAACTGTGCAAGTAGCATTGCTCATGAGCCTAATGGAGGAGACGTGGTTGAGCTGGGCACAAGAACTAGTGCTTTTGTCAGTGAGAACCTTGCACGATGTTTTGAGACTACAAAGGAGAAATTGTCCAGTGGTGAAGATATTGAGCATGGTCACCAACTCAGCCAGCGCAATCACTCTATGCCGACTAGTGTGGCTGGACATTGGAGTGATGTGCCATCAATGAGTGTGTTCCAAGAGGGCACTGAGGAATATGAGTGGTGGATCAGTGTCCTAAATGTAGATGCGAACTCCAATGCTCCAACCCATGGCAACACTGTTACAACACCAAAGTCTTGTGATGTTTTTTATGTCACTCCTCAGGCTCCAATCTCAACAGAAGCAGAAGTTCTAGTGTATGATGTCACACCAACCTCTATGGCTCCATTATCAAGTGAGACTGCCGGTATGCCCTGCCATGTTTTATCTTTGAACAAATCTCTCCTCACAACATTTTCTGGAAAATCTTTTTTTATTGTTTTTTCAGATGGACCATCAAAACCACAAGAAGAGCCAGTTGTTCTAGTTAGCAACAGGGAACCAAGTCCCGACCTCAACGAGGAGAAGTTGAAGAGCAAGGATGAGAAGAAGCTCAAGGGCAAGAAAAGAGTAGGGAGTCCAATGTCGGCCGGATCAAAGTACAAGAAAATCAAGATAGATTCGAAGACGGAAGCAATGTACCAGTACTATGTCATGAAGAGGTACAAGATGAAGAGAGGGGAAATTGAGTAAGTATCATCTTCTCAAAAATTTGCTTCCACCATTTTGTTATCTCCTATTTATTACATTTTCATCTTTTCAAACGCTCCTAACTACTGTGGTTTTCATCCTTCTTTTTGCAGGCCTCCTTTCATTAGGATTCGTGATTTCCACATTACCTACACCAACTTTCAGACGTCGTTGAAGCCACGCACTCAGATATGCAACGAAGTCATGTCTTTATTCGTTGAAACCTTCAACATTGAACAATTGTCATCTTCAAATAAGCAGAAGAAATTTGCTTTCTCTATTTTAATGAGCGTTAGTTCATCTTTTGTTGCTCCCATTTAGTGCCACCATTTTTCTAGAGTTTTTTAGTATGCCCTATTGTAAAAGTTCTCCATCACTTTTTCTTATGTTTTTCTATGCCCCTGTGTGTTGCAGCTTCAACTCTCTGTCCACCCAGAAGTTTTTGATCCAAGTGTTTGTGCAAGAGAGCTAAGGAGGGTGTGCCAAAATTTCCAGATTTCAGTTTTTGACCTAGTATGTTTGCTCCCAACAATTTTTTACTCGATTTCTATGTTTCCTTTAGTTTTTTGTGCTTTAAAGTTTATTCCATTTAACCTCTATCTTGTCTTTACTACTTTTTCTAGCTTTTCTTCACCATCCTCCGTGATGGCCACTGGATTGTTTGTGTCGTTAACCTCTTGCACAAGGAGTTCAACATGTTTGACTCATTGGATAATGGAAAATTTGATGTTGCTGCAAGGAATCTGGTAAGTGACATTTTATCCTTTTATCTGTAGTTTTCATTGTTCATTATTTGAAAAAACCAGATCCCCAATGAACATGTGTTCAAAATCTTGATAGTGAACCCGAATGTGTCTGAAGTTTTAATGGTTGTAGCATTTTCCCCCATCACTCTTTTATGTTTGACAAAGCCCGTGCTTTTTTTGCCACTGTTTCCTATTTCTGCCAGTTTACCAATTTCAAGAGGATTGTATAGAAGAGCCAGATTTCAAAGTGGATTTATCTTCTCTCAAACCAGTCTGCCCCTGCTTGACTACCCACAGCAGGCAACTCAGTGAGCTCTAATCACACACACCCCTCCATAATAGTAGTGTTTACATGTCCTTTTATGTAGAAATCTTTAACTTTTTTCTACTCATTTTTTGAATGGCACCACGAAACAGCTTTGATTGTGGATTGTTTTCAACACTATACTTGGAAAATTTCGACGGCAAGAGGATGAAAGATTTTAAGAAGGTAAAAATAGATAATCATGCTTTTTGGGTACTTTTTCATGTGTTGCATGTATGATATATGTTTGTTCTCTTTTCACTATTTTCTCTCTTATGCAGCAAAATATGCTTGATGTGCGGAAGACCATTGCTTCGAAGCTGTTTTTCCATCCGCTGAACAAGGTCTGCCCCACTGATGTGCACAAGGCGATCATAGTGGCTTGAAGAAAGTGATCATCAAGCATTGAAGAAGGCGATTGCAAAGGTTTTGAAGATGCAACTTTGCAATTCTTGTTAATACATTATTGCCAGTAGTGTGATATGTTCTTTTTTGTGTCAAATGAACTCCATGTAAAGCAATTGCTTGGCTGGAATGGTTCTTAGTAGTTTGTAGTAAGGAAACATAAGTATATGTTTCAGTGATTTTGTTGGAAGCTATAACCGTGCAGTGGTTTGTTGGAAGCAAGTTATAACAGTTTTGCTGCTTCGTACTCAACCTTTTCAAGTTTTATGGAATCCTTCTCAGTTTTTGTTACAAATGTTTTCATGTGTGTTTTTCTAGTATGTGTTGCCTTATCTTGTCACAAATTGTCCGACAACCACTTTTTGTCAGCAACAATGTTAAGGAATTATTAGAGGAAGCATGCTCATGAAACATTTTTGTACATTTTCTTTTTTGGAGCAACAGCTTGTGATAATTGTTGCTGGAAGAAGCATTTTGGCAGCTTTGACATAATACTAGAAGCATTTTAGCTTGCTAGAACAAGCATTCTCATTTTTTGTCCAATGCCTTTGAGCAATCAGCACATTTTGAGAAACACATTTTTTCTTAATAACTGAAATTGTGTAATATTTCTTTTGAAATACATGCTCTCTTAATTTCCCACAAAACACAATATCAATGCTTCATTTTTTTTCACCCTCACTTCTGCAGCAATATCAACTTTTTTAGCATATGCGGTTTTAATGAGCAGTAACATGAACCAAAATCTCAGATAAAGTTGACAGAAAATTCAGTAAAACTACACAGTACAAATATGTCTTTTTCGAAAGTAGGCTTCAAGTTACTGATACATGAATTGAACTGCAGCAGTATAATCTAACTATTGAACATGTCCCTCGACTTTCACCATTGCATCTTTAAACTGGATGCATGATTGCATTGTGTGGCCTTCCTCAGAGCAAAACTGACATTTTGTTGTAAGATTAACAGCCATCTTAGCCTTGTACTCAAGGAATGACTCACGGGTTTTGATAGTGTGTTCTTCTTCACTGCAAAATGAACAAGTAACTTTCCTCTTGGGTTTAGGCTTGCTTGATGACTCCACATTGTCTTCTTTTTTTGCTTTCTTTCTTGGCTTCTTTTTGAAGCTTCTTCTTATGCTCGTCTTCTCGCTGCTCTGATAATCCCCAAGTGCAAGGAATCATCATAGCAATTTTCAAAGATGGAAGCGATAAGTATGGAGTGTCGAACCCACAAGGAGCTAAATTTAAGATCAATATTCTCTCAAGCCCAATCTACCACTGATACAGCTCTACGTACACCGAGCGTTTGCTTTCATATAGAAACGAGAAATAAAACTATGTTGTGGGTATAAAGAGGATAGCTTTGCATGGTATTAGAGAGCTAAAATATAGAAATAGGTGTTGTTAACATAAAGTTAGAATATATTGTAATATATTACAAATAGCGAGTGTGGAATAATGATGGATCGGTGCACGGAATTATCCTAGGCAATTGTTAACAAGATCGGTAATTGTTAGTGCAATTTTATGTGAGGGAGGGGCATAAGCTAACATACTTTCTCTACTTGGATCATATGCACATGATTGGAACTCTAGCAAGCATCCACAACTAATCATTAGGTAAAACATAACCATAACATTAAAGTATCAAGTCCTCTTTACTCCCATACGCAAAAAAAACCTTACTCGGGTTTAAGCTTCTGTCACTCTAGCAACCCACCATAAGCGGACCATGAATATATTGCAAACCCTACAGCGGGGATCCCTCATGTGTGCGCGGCATGGAGGGCACCATAGGACATCACCAATATAAAACATACAACTCAAACCAGTCAAGATCATCAATCAACCCAAAGAACAAAAGAGATCTACTCAAGCATCATAGGATGGCAACACATCATTGGATAATAACATGTGGCATAAAGCACCATGTTCAAGTAGGGGATTATAGCGGGGTGCGGGAGCATGGACTAATGACCCACAAGTGTAGGGGATCTATCGTAGCCTTTTCGATAAGTAAGAGTGTCGAACCCAACGAGGAGCAGAAGGAAATGATAAGCAGTTTTCAGTAAGGTATTCTCTGCAAGCACTGAAATTATCGATAACAGATAGTTTTGTGATCAGGTAATTTGAAACGAGTAGCAAGTAATAAAAGTAAATAAGGTGCAGCAAGGTGGCCCAATCCTTTTTGTAGAAAAGTACAAGCTTGGACAAACTCTTATATGAAGGAAAGCGCTCCCGAGGACACATGGGAATTATCATCAAGCTAGTTTTCATCACGTTCATATGATTCACGTTCGGTACTTTGATAATTTGATATGTGGGTGGACCGGTGCTTGGGTACTGTCCTTACTTGGACAAGCATCCCACTTATGATTAACCCTATTGCAAGCATCCGCAACTACAACAGAAGTATTAAGGTAAACCTAACCATAGCATGAAACATATGGATCCAAATCAGCCCCTTACGAAGCAACGCATAAACTAGGGTTTAAACTTCTGTCACTCTAGCAACCCATCATCTACTTATTACTTCCCAATGCCTCCCTCTAGACCCAAACAATGGTGAAGTGTCATGTAGTCGACGTTCACATGACACCACTAGAGGGATGACAACATATATCTCATCAAAATATTGAACGAATACCAAATTCACATGATTACTTATAGCAAGACTTCTCCCATGTCCTCAGGAACAAACGTAACTACTCACAAAGCATATTTATGTTCATAATCAGAGGGGTATTAATATGCATAATGGATCTGAGCATATGATCTTCCACCAAGTAAACCAACTAGCATCAACTACAAGGAGTAATCAACACTACTAGCAATCCATAGGTACCAATCTGAGGTTTGGATACAAAGATTGGATACAAGAGATGAACTAGGGTTTGAGATGAGATGGTGCTGGTGAAGATGCTGATGGAGATTGACCCCCTTCCGATGAGAGGATCGTTGGTGATGACAATGGTGATGATTTCCCCCTCCCGGAGGGAAGTTTCCCCAGCAGAACAGCTCCGCCGGAGCCCTAGATTGGTTCCGCCAAGGTTCCGCCTCGTGGCGGCGGAGTTTCGTCCCGTGAGCTTGCTTATGATTTTTTTTCTCGATGAAAGACTCCATATAGCTAAATGTGGGCATCAGAGGGCCACCAGGGGGCCCATGAGGTAGGGGGCACGCCCAGTGGGTAGGTCGTGCCCCCACCCTCGTGGACGGTGGGTGGCCCCCCGCTGGTACTTCTTTCGCCTAAATTTTTTTTTATATTCTGAAACGTGCTCCCGTGAAGTTTCATGACTTTTGGAGATGTGCAAAATAGGTCTCTAATATTTGCTCCTTTTCCAGCCCAGAATTCTAGCTGTCGGCATTCCCCCTCTTCATGTAAACCTTGTAAAATAAGAGAGAATAGGCATAACTATTGTGACATAATGTGTAATAACATCCCATAATGCAATAAATATCGATATAAAAGCATGATGCAAAATGGACGTATCAACTCCCCCAAGCTTAGACCTCGCTTGTCCTCAAGAGAAAGCCGATATCGAGAAATATGTCCACATGTTTAAAGATAGAGGTGTCGATAAAATAAAATACTGACATGAGGGCATCATGATCATTCTTAGAACAACAACAACATATATATATATGACTCCTCTTCTGTACTCCTCGGAGTATGTACTCTCGTTCTCAATATACCTCATATACGCATTAATTATACCTTTTTATTATTCTCAATATACTTCATTAAATATTCTAAGATACCCCAATACGAGTTTTGTTGAAAAAATATCATCAGCGATGTACTTTTTGTAATATACTTTTTTCACGTACAAACACATCAGTATATACGTAACATTTAAAAATATGTAGACTCACATGAATTTTTTCATGGAACTCATTTTGGGGTATCTAATAATTACTAATGGAGTATATTAAAAATAATAAGGTGGTATAAAAGATTCATCTATGTGGTATATGAGAAGCGGGAGTACGTACTCCCAGGAGTACACAACCATTTTCCTATATGTATATATATTGTCATATGATCTCCCATGCTAAAGTAACAATTCATTCACATACTCAAGTATGAATCAGAAGCTTCATTGACAACTAACAAACTATAATCTCAGTCATTGAAGCAATTGCAATTTATCATGACATAGGAAAGAGTTAATATAAGAGCTTCTCAGCAAGTCCATATACTCAACCATCATTTAGTCTTTCACAATTTCTAACACTCACGCGATATTTATGGTTATGAAGTTTTAATCGGACACAGAGAAAGACAGGGGCTTATAGTTTTGCCTCCCAACTTTTTACCTCAAGGGTAATGTCAACAATAATAGTTCATGAAAACCCACATCCAATTAGCCATATATATCAGGATCTTTCCAACACATTGTGCTTGCCAAAGGATAAAATGTAAAAAAGGAAAGGTGAAGATCACCGTGACTCTTGCAAGAAGTATAAGACAAGAATAAAAGATAGCCCCTTCGCAGAGGGAAGCAAAGGCTGTCATGTG